CAACTAAAAATTAAAATTAGCCCATGATTTACTCACCCTCAAGTCATCCTTGGTGTATATGACATTTTTCTTTCAGACGAATACAATCAGAGTTATATTAAAACATGTCCTGGCTCTTCCAAGCTTTATAATTGCAGTGAATGGTTGTTTCTAGGGCTGGGTATTGACACAAATTTCACAATTCGATTCGATTCGATTTGATTCAATATTGATTATTTTGGATATCAGGTACAATACATGGCAAATTTTCTCAAGGAAAACAAATCTCTTAACTAATACTGTAAACTATGGGAGTCAGTTGTAGCCTACTAGGCTTCATTAGCCTACTATAATATTGAAGGTAAAAATTAACTGATTTGTAGCTATACAAACACTTAAATTACACTTATTTATTTTTATAATAATAAAGTTATATGAAATATAAACATTTAAATGGTGGCTGTCATAAAAACTTGCCAGATTTATTCAAACATGTATTAAATATCGAAGAACATAACAAATTATAATGAATATGTAATATGGTGCATATATTTAGCAAAATGCTCCTCTTTAGAGTTATGTTTTCTAGCTGACTAACGAGTTTATGGTCACATATGGTTTTTCTGAGGTAAATGTGACGTTACATGACATTGTTTACAAGTTGTTTTACTGACGTCTTTCCACGGTTGAAAGTCTGATTTAGCGATTCCATGTGACATGATACGGATTTCGATAAGTTGTACTCTATCTTTTAACACACTTTCAGACATTCATTCATGTTTATTTCGCGCTGTAACTGGTATTATTAAGGCAGAAGTGGAGATCATATGCGCTCCGCGCTGCTGCTTCTCTTGAGCTGAGCTGAGCCAGAGCGATCTCACGCCACAGCGCCAAAACGGTATTTATGTTTTTGAATTTCGTAAGAAAATGGACGTAATTTGAAATTTGAGACTTTATTTAGTATCAACAGTAACAAAGCACAAAGATTATTGCGATTTATTGGATGGGATGCGCGCTACAATGTTCCATTCATTCATCAAATGAAAACAGGATGGCTAATCGATTCTTGAGATTTAAGAAGCGATATCGGTTCGTAAAAATGAGAATCGATTAATATCGAGAAATCGATATTTTTTACCCAGCCCTAGTTGTTTCTGTTTTGAAGTCCATAAAAGTGCATCTATCCATCATAAAAGTGCATCTATCCATCATAAAATTGCTCCACACTGCTCCGGGGGGCTAATAAAGGCCTTCTGAAGAGAAGCGATGCGTTTGTGTTAGAAAAATATTCATTTCATTAGGCTATAAACTCGATATAGCCTAACTCCGATTGTATTTGCCTGAAAGAAGAATGTCATATACACCCAGGATGACTTGAGGGTGAGTAAATAATGGGCTAATTTTCATTTTTGGGTGAACTATCCCTTTAATGCGTGTGTGTGTGTGTGTTAGGTTGTATTTTTCCTGTCACTCGCGTGCATGAACGTTCTTCTCGTTCGGCTTACAAGTCAGTTTGATCCGCATAAAGTACATTAGTATGCGTACTTGTTTGCAAGGGACTTTGCGTGTGTGTTGGACAGAATGCAACTAAATGACTTTGTGTGTGAGTGTGTGTTCCATTAGCTGGGACAGCTGTAATGAGCTTGGGTTGCAGTGCCAGTGCCAGCAGAAGCTGAGAGCGTTGCCTCCTAATGGGGCCGTGCAGATGCAATCAAAAGCCCAGCCGTGTGCTACTGACTCATCCTCACCATCCGAATCAACACCCTATACATGTTCCTTTCAGTTGTTTACACATATCTGAGGCCCTCCGTGCAAATTTCTGTCATATTACACCAGGCAGTCACGTTCTTTCTGACTTCTTCCAGATTTGGCATTTTCCCCAGACACATCATCTCACATGATTGATGATCCTCTATTCACTTGACTTTACAGTGAAATTTCAAACAGACTCCGTGAGCAAGGTTTTCTCGCCGCATCTATGAAAGCGCTTTTATCAGTCTGCTCTTTTATCTGTCTCGGCGATGTGAGTGCCAGGATGCGGAGTGAGAGTGATCCCGGCTACTTAAGCCCACATAAAGTGCTCTACCGGCTCCCCCGCTAACTTGTCTACCTCAGCTGGACCGAGCGTAAGGCGCAAAAGGAGGTTCTCACCTAGAACTGTGACAACCCACTGGGCCATAAACACTCTCAAGCCCTTGAGGGGCTCATGGGAACCGGTTGGTTGGGAGATTGTTGCTCCAGTTTGTACCATGCCTGCATGCGCTTCTGAGTAGTGTGTGGCCCGAAGCTTTAAGCCTCTCAGGACTGATCTGGGATCAGTATTCATGCCGTAAGGCCTCAGAGAGTTCCTCGGCTACCTGCAATCTGGGTCAGTTTACGCATTATTTTACAGATCTTCTCCCAGTGTGGGAGTAGAAATAGACTCTGTACTAACAAAGACATGCAAGGTACAAACTCCCTGACACTGCCTTCTGAACATGCACAACTCTTAGACTACGGCTACATTAATCCGGATACATTTGAAAACGGCGTTTTCGTTTAAAAACGCTTTCTGTCCACGCTAGTGTTTTCAGGCGTTTTACAAAACTTTCTCATACACAATGAAACGTTGGTTATTGCCAGCCCGATCTCACGGCAATTCGTACGAATTTTACGAGGTGGCTAATTCGTACTAAGTCATACGACCTCACTCGTACAAATTCGTATGATTTTACGAGTTACCAAATTCGTATGAATTCGTACGAATGACCTATCCCTGACCCCGCCCCTAAACCTACCCATCACGTGGGTTTAGACAAATCGTACAAATTTGTACGAGTGAGGTCGTATGAATTAGTACGAATTAGCCACCTTTTAATCACTCGTACGAATTGGTCGTGAGATAGCGTTGGTTACTGCGCATAGGTAAAACCTCACTGAGATGAGAAGTTATCGCACAATTTTTCTGATGGGGTAATTTTGTTTAGCAAAACATCTCACCATTGTTCGGTCACCATATGTTTGGTCTAAAACGCAAATGCTCATGTATTGCCTCAGGACAGCAAATGTGAGTACATTTCTCTGTCATCTTTGCAGGACTATGATATGAAGAGTGTGCAAATTAACATTTTAGCAACAGTGTGAAAGTAAATAGCACATAACAGGAACAATACCGGTATAAACATGAATATCTATTTGGTACAATATGCATCACATGACTAAATTTACATCATCGTTTTTAAATAGGCCTACCTCCGTTTTGACAGTCCACAATACAACGCCGTTTTCAAATGTATCCACTTTGGAAAAGTTCAAAAAAGTTTGTTTTCATTAATAAAAACGCCGTCTCAGTGTGGACGGAAGGCCAAAACGGAGAGCAAAAGATGCGTTTTCAAACGAAAACATATTAGTGTGGACATTAATACACAACAATAACCGCTGAAACATTACTAGTTCACATTAATATCTATTCTTCAGAAAGACTTGCACTTGCCAAGACTCAAAAACAAAACATCTCAAAGTATATTTAGCTACTTTTCTTTAATACCTTACATATACATACACAAACCTTTCACTATTCTCAACTGCATAATCATAATTTAAACAATTAACACTACTGACTACTGAACAAAATGAATGAAAGTATTCTATACAGCCAACTTTTATCTAGCTGTATAAATAAAGATAAACAGACATCTGTAGACATCGAACCAAAACTTGCATTTAAACACAAAGGATAATTAAAGGTAATAGATAACAGTCTCAACAGAATGTGACACACAGGGAAACGTGTGACTGCTGTGCACTTTGAAGATGCTGATAATGAGGACCTGGGTATTAATGAGGCTCTTCTCATCTTTTTCTACACACACACACACACACACACACACACACACACACACACACACACACACACACACACACACACACACACACACACACACACACACACACACACACACACACACACACACACACACTTAATTGCTGCTGCAGCTGGTGCTTGTTGGGCCCATAGTTTGCTCTAGAGAATTTTGAGTAGCCTAATGCTGAAACCATGTTTGGAGTGCAATGCTCGCTGACATTCATGACACATATTCGGACCCTCAGTTTGAATATGAGAAATACAGCAAGAAAAAACCCACTGAAAGTGATACAGAAGACGAGAAGAGGGCGGGTAAGTAGAATATAGTCAGGAGATAAGTGGATGAGATGAATGCAAATAGACAAGAGGTGGGGGAGGGAGGAGCTGCTCGCCCTCCCTTTTATCAGAGGAGAGATAAATGTGATTAATCTTAAGATAATAACACTAAAGGCACAAGACTTCTCATTCATCACCACTACAGTTCTTGTAATTACAGGCAAAAGAAATTAAACTGAAGAAAGGCTACAGTATAGAAGCTCTCCTAGACAAGGGGACAGGGCAGCAGGGGAGAAGAAAAAATATCTGTGGCCAGATTTAAAAAAAGAAAAGAAAAAAAAGGGCTGAAATAATGATTTTCCTCCCAGATTATTTAGCTATCCAGTCTCAGCTGTCAGGTAATGTGAATTATCACCTATCAGCACACAATCAAGTCCTGTGATACTAAAATAAATAAATCAGTCTGGAGGCTGAAGCAAGCATGTCTCAATCAGGAGACACTTCATCAACTTCCTGAGCGCACGAGTCGAAATGTACAGCACGTGACCAGAGTGGTGTCCACTAAATCAAAACTCTCAGATAAATCTCACGAAACCTGTCAAGAACATGTTCGGGTTATACATCACCCTAAAATTTTGTGTGTGTGTGTGAAAAATACTAACGTTAATACAAGACTGGTTTGATCCTAGCCTATGGTCAAATTACGCTAATTAAAATCTGGGATGAAAATGTGCTTAATTGCCATAAATAGTCACATTACACAAAATCTCAATTGTGTTTAACGTAGGCTAAATACTGTGTCCCGGACATACTCGTGAGATTCACCTATCTTGTCAACCGTCTTACGGGACCTAAAATCCCCCCACATCCGACGTAAAAAAAAACTTATGAACCCACTTACTGGAGGTTTGAGCTGTTCCAGTACACGGCGTGACGGTTGTTCCCGTGGACCGGGCGCAAGTTCGCCCAGGCAAGCGCGAGGAGGTAGAGGGAAACCGCCGCGAGAGCCATTATAATATTCCTGCGTTCACGTGCACCTGCAGTGGTCTCTTCGCCTTCTTCGACTCTCAGTCCCCCAGTCCCAAGCAAAACTAACGCTTTTTACAACATTTCTGCGACTCAGCAAGTGGACAGACAGTCACAAAGCGTTTATTTGGCGATAGTGCCGCAGTACGGCTAGTTTGTTCAGTCACAGACCTTCGCGCTTTCCCGAATGCAACTCCATGGCAGAGAGACGCTCATCCAAGGCATCCTGAGCAGGTCTGTTGGAATTTACTGAAACAAGTAACTGAATAATTCCTTTTTAAAAACAAAATCCTCCACAAGAGAAGAACAATGGTACGATAAACTGTCGATGGACGGTTGAGACAAAAAGGAGAGTAACTACCTACACGTCTTCAGCGGCAGGTGTCTCTTTGGTTAGGTGACTGACTGGCGTCGACTGAAGAAAAAAATAACAACAGACTCAATAAGTGTAAAAAACGATTCTGTCAACTCGCAAAGTCATATTTTACGGTCACTGAACTTCTGTGAGCTTCCCTCTATATGCGTTCACTGTGGGTTTTGTCCAAACACTCACATGATGCCAGTAATAGGAAAAGTAAGGCAATCATAGCCTAGGCGTCCTCACTGACACTCGTTTTTTTTTGCTCCCGCCACATTATATGATTGACAGGTTGCGGTTGCCCGAGTGGCCACGCCCCTGCCGCCCACTCATCTAATAAGACCTGTATATTTTTAATGATTTGCAAAAGGTAAATAATTATGATTTGTTTAACTGTTTGTCGAGATGGGGTTTTTTTTATTGATTTGGTCATTTGTTGTCCTTTTTTTCTAGTCAGAGTTTGGATTTGATATGTGGGTCAATGTTAAATAATAATATCTGAGATGAAATCTTTTTTTTTTATTTGATTATTTCTGGACAGTTACACCACCTAAACATTTGATTAATTATTATTTTAAATCCCACAAAAAAATAAAATAGAACATGTTCATTGTAGATGACATGTAATCAAGTCATTATTTGTATGAATCATTTGTACAGAGGTAGGAAAGTGAAAGTGCGTTCAGATCCATTGTTTGCTTAAAATTCTACTAAAGCTGGGTGCACAATGTATCATTTTTTATGAATATTGCGAATCCTAAAGGATTAATCTGATCCTTGACCAAAATCTGTAGTAATTCATCACTAGCTCGACATGTTCGCTGACAGCCGGTGAATGACTATTGCGGCCATATTTCACTTCCGGTGAAATCCTGCCAGTGTCAGAAGTTTTAAGGCACAGTCTCTCCTGACAACCGTCAAATCAAACACCAATAGCACAGACTCTGATGGCACAATTAGTGAGAACAACAAACCACCACTTGTTCATCGCACATCAAGATTAGTAGCCAGTAGCCATGATCAAATTTAACTCTAGAGATTGTTTTTGTTTGCTAGCCACCGTTTTATATCTCGCATGTAAATGCAGCTCACCGTCAACCAAACGTGTCACGGGTTGATGATGTAAAACTCTGGATGACTCTTCTCGTGTGTGTCCATTTTTGACGAATCTTGACTGTCGCACAGTCTGACATTAAAGGGAACTGAGATCCCACAGTGTGACATGGCTAACAGCGGGGATCGTGTTCGTACAGTCTGACAAGCAAAAACTGTAAAGGATTATTATAAATTGATATTTAGTTGATGGTTAGAAGAATAAAACTGTTCTGTTAGGAACATACAATAAGAAAATTGTCTCATTTAATGTTTTAACTTTTAATTCAGTTCCCACTGAGAAATAGTATTGTACTCATTAAATATGTGCTTAGTTCTTATTAAATCTCATTTGAATTTGCTGTTGGATCATTAGACATGATGTTACAGTGTAATGCCTTGGAAGTCTGTCTGCTGTTCACGCTGCATGGGTTATCATAAACGCTGTTCTGTTGGCATGAAATGGATCTATCTTTTAAACGCATTTTATGGTCCTTGTGAATGATTCATCCAGTTATGTGTTTCCTTAAGTTTTTTTACTTTCTGCTCTCTGGTGACACATGCATTTCATCTGCATAAACTCCACCCTTTCTTACAAATGACTGCAAGCTATGTACAGTATGCCACCCACATTTAAACTGCTTATGCCTCATATCAAATGCTTTGTACTTTGTACACACAGCCCCTCCACACCTTCGCCACGTAATTAGAGTTGCGACCAGGGGTGTAGTACCAAATTTTGGGCCCTGGGTACAAACCATCTTGCTGGGCCCCCCGCGACGGACTTTTGACTTGAGCTTGGCGACTTCTCCAACGGGGGTGGGGGGGATAGACGGACTTTTTGACTTGAGCGCGGCGACTTCTAAGGCTTCTATTCGTTTTTTTAGTTAAAGGGATACTCCACCCAAAAATGAAAATTCTGTCATCATTTACTCACCCTCAAGTTGTTGCAAACCTGTATGAGTTTATTTCTTCCGCTGAACACAAAGGAAGATATTTTGAAGAACGATTGGAACTTTGGCACCATTGACTTCCATAGTATTTTTTTTTTCTACTATGGAAGTCAATGGTGCCAAACAACTGTTTGGTTCCAATCGTTCTTCAAAATATCTTCCTTTGTGTTCAGCAGAAGAAAGAAACTCATACAGGTTTGCAACAACTTGAGGGTGAGTAAATGATGACAGAATTTTCATTTTTGGGTGGAGTATCCCTTTAAATAACTACATCATCTGGGTATTTGAAGTGCACATCTTATTGTTGGAATTTTCAGTGTGTACTCAAACTATTTATACTACACAATGACATAGAATAGTGCATAAGTATGCAAATTGCGACGCAGCTACTGCCTAAGACTTTCGCTGCGTCCGAAATCGAATACTTCCCAACTACATTGCATGTGAAAAGCAATACGCCACAGAGTATGTCCGAATACATAGGTTGTACCTACTCAGACAGTACGAGATTTCGGATGCACCATTTGACTGACTTAAAAGCATAGGCCTACCACACATTTAGAATGAAATGTTATCCATCATATGTAAATTAAATTTCCATGCACTTCATGTGGTGTCTTTACACCAGGTTTATACATTTGAAAATGGACCAATGAGATGTGACTAATTGGTCTCTCCTCTTTCCCTCATCTTGTATGATGGCCTATTGTCATTCCCAGCATCACTCTTTCCCTCTCTGCCTTTCTTTCTTTCATGTGTTCTCCCTCTTTCAATCCCTGCTCCCCTTCTCTGTTGTTTTTGTCAGGGATGTTGCCTCTCTCGTGTCCCCTCCAGGCATGTTGCTGTGGTGACGGCAGTAAAGGGGATGAGAGAGAAGGAGAACTATCACTTCTTTAACTCGCTGCATCTACCGTCCTTGCACTTGTCTGTGCATAGTATGCCATGTCAATTGCTTCTATTGTCAATCACATTCTTTTTTTCTCCCTCCAGAGTCCATTTCTCATCCAGTATTAAACTGTTTCACTTGCCGTAGCCCATCTATTTGTATCTCATGACGCTCACATTATCTTCTTGTCCCAAAATCAAAGTTTCTCCGAAACTCCGTCAAAGACACGTGTGTTTGAGGAACATCTGCTCTGACCCTTCAAACGGTTTTGCATCTGTTGATAATAAGTACGCTGTCCTTTATTTATAAAGCATTATGTTTGCATTGTGCATGTTCACATGTCTTTTATGCATCTTCTATATTCAGATACGTTTGGCTCGGGTTTTGAGTGATGGCGATGTGCTGATGTGCACATTGTGGCTCAGGCGTTGCTAGGCAGCGGGAGACATTAGTAAAACTAGGCTGTTTCTGTTTGCTTTCGCGTGTTGGTTGTGATTAATTCATGAGTAGCCCTGCTATGGGCACATTGATTATCCAGATAATCCATTATCATCAATGTGACTTGCTGCAGTCATGTATCCTTGTTTAGTGTTTAATTGCTTTTCCCAAGGTTTTTATTCACGGGGCATGCGAGATCACACGGAGATGGGTGCGTTCTGTTCTCTGTTCTCCTCCCCCTCCGTTACCCGTCCCTCATCCATCTCGTTTTCCACGTCAACTAATTCATTCATCCTTTCGCATTCTCTCCGTCTGCTGTCACACCATTTATCTGAATGTTTCAATCTCAGTCACATATTTTATTTGCGTCTTCTTATTATTGCAGTGATTTATTTATCGTTACAATCTCAAGTTTGCATATGCAACAGACAAAAAAGCAATATTACTTTCAGTCAGTGCAAGAGATATTGCCTAAAATAGCACTTTATTATTCTTTGTTTGCTATGAAGAGCTTATTTTCTTGTTAAACTTTGACAGTATTAAATATGAAAATCACTTTTCTTTGAACTTGTTGTGTTGATGTTTCATTAGATGATAATGATGTTTTTTAACACATTTTTAAAAAGAAAATTCCAAATGTGCAATATTAATTTCTCATTATGGCACATACCGAAAGTTTGGAAACACTATAGGCAAATTTGGGTTTTAGGCTGTATCTGAGCACAAAAAAACCTATGCTTTTTTTAATTGTATTTTTTTTACTGTATTATTTATTTATTTTTTATTATACAGCACTTTGGTAGGCTACAACATTTGTTGTTTTTTAATGTGCTTTTAATGAACTTGAACTTGAACCTGATATAATGACATATCCTAATGTTATGATGCCATGGCACTGGCATGATAAGGGACAACACAAACTATGAAAACATATTTTATAAAAAAAAAAAAAGATTATTAAAAAAAGAATTATATCAGCACATAGAAAAATCTTGGAGCTATTTATAATCTGTGTTCTTAATGGTCTTTTGTTCTGTCAATCTATCAGTAAAACTATAAAAGTGTGCTGACCCAATGATCTTGAACATTTTTAATCCAGTAATCAGTCTGACCGTGATGTGTATACATTGCCATTAAGGTGTAATCAAAAATAAATCATTATTGCTGGTCTTCAATATTAGTTACTTCAATGCATTAATGCCAAATGATTAAGACGGATTTATGTTAATATTGTCCAAAACCCTAGAGCCTTTCCAAATTTTCAGAGGGCACTGTATGTCTAGATTGCTTTCAGTTTGTGAATTTTGCAGCCGTAACGTAGCAAAAGTATGCCATAATTACAGGATTCATTCTGTTAGTCTTCTCTGAGCTGGGTTAGAGAGCTGTCCATGGTCCTGAAGTTTCCTTTATGTTTCCATGGTGCTAAACTTTGCGTTGGCCTTTGAAAGATGCTTTTTAGTTTGCAGAAATAGTAAGATAGCTATTCAATACAGCTAAAATGCTATAGACAAAAAGGCTGTTTTCTCTCCTTCTCTCGCTCATGTTTAGGGTTACATAAGTATATTAAACTGAACTGACAGTGCTACTTCACTTTCTCTCTCTTTCTACTGTGGCCATTTTTTAACCACTTTCTCACCCAACCCGGTCTGATATGAATTAGCAAATGTCTGCTAATGACTGTGCATATCTAAGAGTGTAAATTCACACATTAAGTACAAGTGTGTGTGTAATGTATATGTGTACTTTTGAGTAAGTAAGGCAGGCCTGAACTCCAGGTGGGCCTCTACTGTTTGTACCCTTGAGCAGCTACTTAACCTGATTCGCTCCAGTGCTTTCCCAGCTG